TGGACCTAGAGATGATCATACTAAGTGAAGTAAGTCAGACAGAGAAAGACAAGTATCATATGATATCACTCATATCATATGATGTGATATCATATGATATCACTCATATCACGTGATGTGATATCATATGATATCACTCATATCATAAAATTAGGGGAACCTAATTTTTAAAATGATATGAATGAACTTATTTACAAAACAGAAACAGAATCACGCATTTTGAAAACAAACTTATGGTTACCAAAGGGGAAAGGGGGGTGGGGGAGGGATAAATCAGGAGCTTGGGATTAATATATACACACTACTATATATAAAACAGATAACCAACAAGGACCTACTGCATAGCACAGGGAACTCTCCTCAATATTCTGTAATAACCTTTATGGGAAAAGAATCTGAAAAAGAATGAATATATGTGTAACTGCATCACTATGCTGTACCCCTGAAACTAACACAACATCGTAAATCAACTAGACTGCAACATAATTTAAAGTAAAATAAAATGATCTATTTACTAGGTAAGGTCAAGGCTGTGTCTGATTTATCTTTATATCCCCTGTACCAAGACAGTGTCTGGCAAGAAGCAGGCATCAAATTAGTGACCGCTGAATGAATCAATAATTCAGTGAGTGAATACCAAAACATGTCAAAAAACCTTCTCAAATATACGTGAGAGATGGCTGAATGCCGCCATCCCACATGCTACCATCTCTCATTTATTATATAGTTTAAAATACCTGTAAAGGTATGATTCTCAGTTCTAGTCCCTAAAGATCCTGATGGGTGCCCAGGTGCTTCAGATTTTGAGAACCCTCCTGAGAAACTTTGTTCTAAAGCCAGAACATGAGGAAACATAACCAGCATGAAAATGAGTAGGAAATCTTCCTCTTCCATTTACCTGTGTCCCTTTGAAGTAAAACAAACCCCAGGCACACAACATATATTTCATTGATTCTTCCACCCATCCATCCGTCTAAAATTTTTGAGACCCTCCTACACTGTGCTAGGCACTCTCTCGAGCAGGTAAGAAGCAAAGTGAAAACCTGCACGTACACCAGACTCTACTCCAGGAGGATTTAAAAACAAACAACCACTTGTGTAAGAAACTTCAAGATGAACAACACAGGCACAGTGAGGGTTTAAATTAAGAGTGGAAACACATCAGCTTTCATCTGTCTTTTTCTTTTCAGAAAACATGCTAGGTCCTGATCTCTGACTTTACATGAAATCTCGCTCAGTTCTTATTTCCCATGGAGGATTTAACTAGGATTTTGAGGGTGGGCTCTGAGTTTCACGTCTTCTTCAATAACCCTATGAAACATTCACATAATGGGGCTTGTTTGGCATCAATCTAACCTGTGCGGATCCAAAGTTTGGCTATTTCAGTAGTTTAATGGAGTTGCTTCCCGTGCATTATACGTTTTGATGCAGAGCATCTATTCTTTGATTTTTCTTCTCTCCTTCGCCCTCTAGAAGCCCACAGGCTTTAACTGATTTTCTGTTGCTGAAATGTGCCCCCAGCTTGCACTCCCTGCAACTGCCACTTGGTTTATTTTTTTGTCAAAGTTGGCAACCTATTTTTTTTAAAATCTGTCACCCCTTTTCTTCCCTTCAGGCAAGTCATTTTTACTGAGGCTGTTGTCATATGGCTGGAACGGGGAGAGCCAGGAATTCCTGAAGCCTGGCTGGGATCAAGGCCAGGCTGACTTGATTTACCCTCCTTTCAAGAGGCTGTCTTTGCCTGGTTGTTTATCGTCTTTGGCATGGTTTTCTCTCCTACCACCGACCCTGCCATCCGGCCATGATTTCTTGTCAAATCAGAAGCTTCAGAGTTAATTCTTTATCACTTTCACAATTCCTCAAACACTCAATTACTTGGCTAACCTCCCTCCCCCAACCACACATGTAAAAAGTGACAAATTACTGTTCAGAGACTGACAGATGAGCCAGGAAGCCAGCTGCTAGGTCTTGTGGCTTTTCCTGGGGCAACTTGGTGAGTTGTTAAAGAAAGGGGAGCTGAAAGGTGAACTGAGTTGTTTTTTTTTTTTTTTTTAACTCAACAATCCCTCTTTTTAATAGGGCAAGGTGTAGACCAGCTTCCTTACCTGCTGGCTTAAGGCAGATGAGCCTTCAGGGGGCTCCAAGCACTGGGCTTTGGCGAAGCCACAAGACAGAAGTCTGGGTCTCTGAACCACCATGCAGAATGTGGTTCACCAACACACACACGGACGAGCGTTCAATTGTGTTAAGTCGCTGAGACGTGGGGATTGTCTGTTAGAGCAGTTTGCTTACCCTGACTAATATAAAAGGGATATGAACACTCACAGGACTGTCAGGGGAGAAGGGCACTACGCTGTTCCTTCCACGGGCCAAGGAATCAAAGGCGCGCAGAGAGGGCTCTACCACAGCTGCATGTCCTTAGTAAGACAAGGGCTTTCACGGGAAACACTCACTGGTGGATCCTTTGCTGGCTGAAAGGGGCAGTGTAGCAGTCATTCTCCTCCAGGTCTGGCAGTGTCTCCTTGTCCAGCCTCATTGGCTTCTTAGGTAACCATCTCCGAAAACTGCTTATTTGTTTATCGATCCTGTGGTACATGAAAGGCAAGACCAAAGGGTACAGCACGTCAGCATTGCCCCAAAACACGGGAGGGAAGTCTCCACAGAGCCGTAAATATGACCCCCACGCTGCAGGCATGCTCACTGCACTCACGAAACTCCCACCCAACAGACAGAAAGAAGAGAGCCGAGACTCAGTGCTCTTGGGATTTCACCAAGGGGCTTTGATATGATTGTCCATGATATCACAGCTGTGAGTCATATGTCTACGCATGCCAGTGAATGACCAAGGAACAGAACAAGGCTGGAAGGCTCTGGAAAGGAAGTGGACAGTCCCTTAAGCAAAGCAGCGGAGACCTTAACTTTGTCCATCCTGCAGATTCCAGAAACTCATTGTGTGCTTGGAAAATCTCCCCATCTGAGGTCTGGGAAGAGCTGTAGCTATAGTTAGCTTTGAGCGAGGGGTGACAGTGCATCCCAGGGGATGGACCGTACACAGAGAGCCCAATGGCACGATTTGCTTCCCGCCCCTCACACCTTCCCCAAGCAGGCTCTCAGCAGATGGCATGCTGTTTAACTTTCATGTCTCTTTTCAAGCTGAGACATGAAAGTTCTCAAGGTGCTGGGGCATCATGACACACGTGTGTCACTCCGGCCAGGGCACACGATGGTACCAAGCCAAGGGAAATGACACTGTCTCCAAAGTGGTTTTCAAGCCATGGTTTCCCCCCCTGGCTACCTCCCTGTTCCCTCTGATTTCTGCTGATGAAAACATCTGGCTTCCAAGTGACCAGATGCTCACCCACTCACAGCCAACCATTAGAGGGAGCAAATACCACAGCAGACTTTTAAATGATTATGCTACCTCAGGTATCTGTACCCCTGAAATGTTTTTTCTCCAAGGGCACGTATCAAATAGCATCTCTGTGAAGCAGACTGAACAGGTACCATTCGCGTTTTACACATCACAAAAGAGACCCACGGCCAGGGTGATTATCCAGCCAGTGAATAAAGCCAGAACCAGATGGCAGATCCCGCACTCTTGATTTTAAAGATCACCCCCATCAAAGTAGTTGATAATGGGAATCTTCACTTAGGGGCTATTCAAGGGACACATTTCGCTGGGGATGAAAATCTTTAAATGCCTTCTAAGTCCATTAACTGACAACATATGGAATTTGGGTATGCTTTGTTTCTTTTCCCAATGAAAATCATTTACATGGCAATTTATCCTTTTCCGTGAAACTCTCAGCTGAAGGGATTATTTTTTATATAACCAATCAACTCCAAAATGAAAAATAACAGTAATCTTCTCTTCTACCACCTTTTATCCTCAGCTTTGTTCCAGCCTCACCACAATCCCCCCACTCTGCCTGGTGGTGGCTGTCTTTTTTCCAGAGTCCCTGAAAGTTCAAACTGGAAAGAATCCTCCGGCTTCTTTAAGACCCTCGTCTCCAAGAGGACCTGTCCCCACCACACATACACGCACAGAAGTAAAGACCCTACTCAGGGTCATGTACCCAGAAAAGAATAATAGATGAGAATGGCCCAAAGACTGAAGAAAGGGAAAAAGTTCCCATCTCCTTCATCCTTCAAGTCCACCCCATTCTCCCCATCATCTCTTTAAAGACACTTAAAATACAGTGAGATGATAAGCTTCAGAGAGGTGATATGACACAGTGGTTGAGAACATGATCCCTGAGGCTGGAGTGCCCAGATTCAAGCCCTGGCTCTGTAATTATTAGCAGTGTGACCTTGGGCAAGTTATTTAACTTTGCCATGTCTCAATTTCCTTATCTGTAAAATGGGCATGATAATGATGCTCAATTCATAGGGTTGTGATGATTAACTGATCAATACGTATACAATGTCTCCAGAACGGTGTCTGGTGCACAGTGAACACTGGCTATTATCACTATCTTTTCTTTTTTCCCAAAGACAAGCATTTGAGCAACCAGTTTGCCTCTTAACAATTTTGTCCTTCTGCCTTTCAATTCAAAAGGTTAATTATGCTTCACCAGCATCTATCACTCGTCCAAGTTCAATGATCTAGTCCTTAAATTAGACTTCCTAGGTTAAGCTGGTTGCCTTCCCTGTGGCTCTTGGCTTTATTTCATCTGATTGCCTTAAAAGTTGTTCAGGAAAGAAGACTTTGGCCCAGAGGTTTTCCGTAATAGAGCTTTCACCTCCCACATCTCTCCAGTCGGCAGCACTAATCGGATTACACTTTGCAAAATTCGCATTCTCACAGAATCTGGGCTCTGCGCGCAATGACTATGAATTAAATCCAGATGGGTACAGTGCTCAGTGTGGATAAAAACAAAGCTGTAAAAATTCAGGCATAAATACTCCATGGGAACGAAATGGTAGCTTTCAGCAACCAGCTTGTGGCATCACAATTTAAGTGAAATGTGGAGATGGTGGAGCGAGAGAACAGAGTATGAAAGTGATGAGTTCATTGAAAAATGAGGAGGGGGGGAAAGGAAGTGAGAGGAGGCTGCTTGGCATGGTGGAAAGGAGCTGGGATTTGTCCTTGGAATGCCTAAATCCTGGCTCTGTCGCTTATCAGCTGTGTGACTTCCCACAAATCACTCACCTTTCTGAGCTTTATTTTTCAAGGGTTTTAAAATGGGGTCATTACGATCATCATCATTTTATTGACCTCACAGCGTTGCTAGGAGGCTTAGAAAAGAGGACGTGCATGAAATGCTTTGGAGAAGCTGCTAGGCAGACAGCAGTGTTATTAATAACTCCTTGAGGACCACGGAGGCTAATGTAAAAGGGATGGAAAGGAGAGGAAGTGGGCTTTTGAAACGCTATGGTAGAAGAAAGACATTCAAAAGATATCTTAAAAACAAGCCCCCTGAGACACTAACTAGGGGTGGAGGGTGTGAACCGGTCTTCATCGGGGCAGCCTGAGAAGAAACAGGAAGAAAAAGCAGGGGCTGTCTCGGTCCCACCACACATGCCAGTCCAGGCTGTGTGCTCACAATGGACAGAAAAAATGTTCAGATGTGACCAGCAGTTTGTGTCCTCTTCTGGCTGGCAGAAAGGCCCCCCAAAGATTTCTGCACCCTAATCCCAGAACCTGTAAATATGTTGTGTGACATGGCAAAGGGACTTTGCAGGTGTAAGGTGATGGGCCTTAAATTAAGGAAAGCATCCTGGATTACTCAGGGGGACCCATTTAACCACGAAGCCATTTAATAGCAGAGAACTTTCTCTGGCTGGAGACAGGAGAGATGAGGCAAAAGGGAGGTCAGAGAGATTCAAAGCATGAGAAGGATTCAACTGGCCACAGCTGGCTTTGAAGATGAAGGGGGGCAGGAGCCAGGGAGTGTAGGCAGCCTCTAGAAGCTGAGAAAGGCCTTTGGTTAACAGCCAGTCGGGAAACGGAGACCCCAGTGCTACAACTGCATGGCCCTGAACTGTGCCAGCTACCTGGCTGAGCCTGGAAGCCAATTCTTCCCCAGCGCCTGCAAAGAAGAGCCTGGCTGGCTGATGCCATGATTTCAGCCTGTGAGACCCCAAGCAGAGAAACCAGTTGAAACCTCCCCCAGCCCAGACTTGTGACTTGAAGAACTGAGATAATAAATTGGTCTTGTTCTATGCCGCTAAGTGCGGGAATGTATTGTAACAGCAATGGGAGACTAACACACCTCTCCAGTCTTGGGCCCATCTTCTCCTTGAGACCTGACCTTGGCCAGCCAGGCCCCCATGGGCTGAGACTGACGTTCTACACGTTGCCCCTACCTCCCAGGTAGGTGGCTCGGGGAACAAGGGGTCTGTCCCTCTGTGGCAGGATGACGAATGGTCACTCTTCCACAAACCCACTCCTGTCCCCAAACTGTGCCACTCAGACATCAGCGAGGATCCCTTTCACCTTGCAAAGGAAAGACCCATAGTGCAAAAGCCACCAGGTTGGAAAGCATGAGACTTAAGCTGGATGCCTGGGACAAGCCTTTTATCCCTTTTATCCTCACGGGGCCTTAGTAGCCTCTAAGATGAAAAGTCAGATGCTTTCTCAATACATGGTGGTGACTTCAGCAATAATATCTTGGCTCTACCATTTTAAACAAACTTGAGTTAATAAAGAGTTTTCCTTTAGGGATGTCTCTGGCGGTCCCGTGGTTAAAACTCTGCGCTTCCACTGCAGGGGGTGTGGGTTCGATCCCTGGCTGGGGAACGAAGATCCTGCATGCTGGGGTCAAAAAAAGAGCTTTCCTTTTCAAGAGGCACAGTGGATAACCCTTCATATAGAATGACGACTCTGGAGTCAGCTGGAAGTGGATTCACATCCTCATTGCCCAGAACGAAAATGGTGAGTGTCACGCTGGGGAAGGGACTAAACTCCTCTGAGCTAATATACCCATTACCTAAGGAAGTGGGAAGGATAAATGTTCCCACAATGCCTTGGATGGACAAAATGCTCAATGAAGTAGTGGTTTCTAGGATGAAGAAAATGATGATGACAATGAACTTTTATTAACCGAGTTCTCAACAGACGTTCAAGAGCTATGATTCTCCCTTGTATATTGAGGTCTGTGCTTCCATGTCTCACAAACATCCCTAAACAGGCAACCCTGATATTTACTTAGGCCTGTAAAAGTCAAGAAACCAACTAGCCAGGAAGCACCCCATCTGTCTCTTCAACATAGGAGTAGGGCTGATACTTAGTGAAATCTCCTCTGACGGGGAAAAGAGGAAACACCAGCTTAATGATGGAGCACTGACTTTGGTTGGATACACTGTCACTCTGTTCCATTTCTGCCATTTACTGAGCAAAAGCTGTCTCACAGACTGCACAGGCACCTCAATAAAGATGGATCAACCACTTGGGCATTTGTGCCCTTGACCTGTCAAGGTAATATCTAGACTAAAAGGTGAGTTACTTTCTTAAGAAAGTTGTTCTGGTGGTAAGTTCAGGGTCCTGGACCAAATGCCGGTTCATGACAGGTGAGGTTCTGCATAGCTGGAAAGAGCTGCCGGCACAGCACAAGCACAGACAAATGGGCACAGACCTGCCGCT